CACACTATGCCAAGTGATATCAGATGGAAGTATGAAAGTCGCATCCTTTACACCATAGCTGATTGATGTCAAGCTTCTGCTGCCTTTATGTCATCACATGCTTTTAACTCTTCTTTACTTCTCTAGTAACTCTCTTATTATAACGGAAATTTTGGAATCCGTCTTCTTGAAGCTATAAATGAGTTTTTAACCAGAATTACAGTCTACTCTTCATCAAAAAGACACGCCATGGTAACTCATTTTAACCTAAGGTTTTCTTTTAGATGTATATAATGACAGTTGGATACTGGATGTTGTCTGTTAGATAATGAACGTAATGACATGATTCCAAGAAACACTTAACATGATATTAAAGAATCTCGTAGTTTAGCTCTGTTATTCATGACTATGTTGTGGCTGCATTTGAAATAATGACCTTCTTTGTAGAACACGTCTTTTAAGTTGGATCCATAACTATTTTCTTGATCGAACCTTCCCTGCTCAAATTCAAACAATTATTCTTCCGAGATGTTTCCCAGTAAAGGAACTTCTCAATCTAAACTAAGCCTTATCCTCTCTAATATAATTCTGAATAACCTGACAGTTTACCTGAAGAAAGCAAACACTGCAGCGTCTTCTCTGATGACGTTCATTTATTGTCAACAAGATAATTATCTTACATTGTCTTGATACCTCTTAGTAAATGCTCTGTTTTGTTCATTCCTGTGTAGAATATTGGGAGTTATTTTTGCAAACGTTAAAGCTGGTTGTCCTCCTTTTGGCCAGCAGTTCATGTTACAAAAAAGATAAGCAGTTTGGTTCTAAGAGCCAGATAAAGCCCTTATGGCAGTAGGTGTCGCGAGCTTCTTGTCCTCCTTTTGGCCAGCAGTTCATGTTACAAAAAAGATGAGCAGTTTGGTTCTAAGAGCTAGATAAAGCCCTTATGGCAGTAGGTGTCGCGAGCTTCTTGTCCTCCTTTTGGCCAGCAGTTCATGTTACAAAAAAGATAAGCAGTTTGGTTCTAAGAGCTAGACAGACTATTATATTTGTTTGTTTATTTTTAGAATTTTATGCAAAGCTACTCGAAGGCTATCTGCGCTAGTCGTCACCTAATTTAGAAGTGCTAGACTAGAGGATAGGCAGTTAGTCAACATCATCCACCACCAACTCTTGGGCTATTCTTTACCAACGAAAGGTGGGGTTGACCGTCACATTATAACGCCCTCACGGCTAATAGGACGAGCATATTCGGTGACAGGATTACCTATTGTGTTTTCATCTTGCAAAAATTTGCGACGCCAAAATATATCACTCTCGGTGTAAAGCAAACATTATTTGCATATGAAATAAAACTACTTGATTCCGCTAAGACAACTTTAACTATATATATATATATATGGTTAAAATATAATTAATTTTACATATTTCAAATGTCATTCATTATTTATTTTTGTAATGTTAACTTGAATTCTTAACCCTATTCGTATCCTCATTTCATCTTTTTTAATATCTACTGGCTAGTTTTTCCTAAGCTAAACTTTATAACTAAGTTCTGAGCAAAATAAATGTTTGTGTATGTGTGTGTGTTTGTGTTTTGTATTGTGGTCTCAATCGAACTGCTATAATAAGCTTCTTGAACAGAAGTAGCCTCCAAGTATGTCAGCAGTAAGTCTGAGGGCTCGTAACGCTGGCAACCCAGTTTCGATACCCGTAATAGGCACAGCAATGATAGCCCATTGTTAACTATGTGCTTAACAAAGAAAAATCAAATCGAATAGAAGTTATTCATAATTAAAAATGACTCTTTGTAAAAAGCATTACTTTTATAAATGTAGTTTGATATTTAGAGCCAACTCGGTCTTTTTTTTTCAGGTCTTTGAAAGCATGTTATTTATTCTACGGAAACTACATAACATTACTTGAAACCACGTTTTCTCAATGAATGCCCCCCCCCCCAGTGGCACAGCGGCATGTCTGCGGACTTATACTGCTAGAAACAAAAAAAGGTTTATTTAAGTATATAAAAATGTTTTTATTGACTAGTTTGTCTCAGTACACGAATATCATCATTTAGTATAAAACATCTGGATTTCAGAAATCAAACCATAAAACAGTTCTTGAAGAAGTCAGAAAAATGTCTGTAAACATAAATACATTTTTATGTATTTATTTCTTATTTTTAAATCACTTCAAATTGAAATTAATAATGTAGATAAACAAATTATGATGAAACAATAACAAGAACAATAAACCAAAAAAAAATGGACGACAACAAAGACAAAAAAAGAACTGACCAAAACACCCAAGAAGAACAAGAAAACAAATGCATTTATGGTTCAATACCATTTGTAAGTGTAATTTAAATGTATTTGTACTTACATTGTTTGTTTGTTGTTATGCACAAAACTACACAATGGGCTATCTATGTTGTGACTTCCACTAGTATCGAAACCTGTTTTTCAGCGTTATAAGATCGCAGGGGTTAACAACTTTAAAGGTTGTACAAGACCGTGTCTCACTATTAGAGACGAAAAGTTCCTGCATAAGTTTACCATCCCATCAATAGTTGTTTCAAAGTACTTATAAATGTTCAATAATTAAGTGCGTGCCTCTTTAAAAGAACGATTACACAACATTTCAAAAATAAAATAAAATAAAAATTCATTCCCAAAGTGTGAACAAAATGACTTTTATTTTTATTCATAAGTACGAAAATAGGGAAAAATGTAGATAAACCAATGTTATCGAAACAATAACAGGTTGAATACGAAGGTAAGGTAAAATTTGTAGGTCTTATGCGAAATGCAAGTTATTGGGGGTGTCTAGCATATACCAAAATTCTGAAATGACTAGCAGCGATGTCACATAAATCATTTTGTGTATCGTTAATACTGGTTTCATAAGTCAGAATGAATTAGTCTTTACGAAAAAAAAATGGTGACGTCATTTTCCCACTGTACATACATTTATATATATATATATATATATATATAAGAGGTGTAACTTACAAACTATTATATCAATTACATTAATTGTCAATAGACGAATAAAATTAGCAATATAAAACAATAATGAAATTAATATACGAAAATTCAAAGCTATTTAAAGAAACAAAAAAACCTT